CAGACAAAAGCCAGCTCCACCGTATGAAAACAAAGCACTTCAAAGATGCTCAGCCTGGAGCCCTGAGATAACTACAGGTTTTAAAAGCCATTATCATCACAGGCTAAGCCAACTTTAAGCCAACTTTCTCACTTTGTTATAGTGACACCTGGTGTTGTAAAGTAGTTTCTTTGAGATGGAAACACGAGGATGTGCTAAAAGGGAAACCAGAGAAGCTTCCTTGTTCAGCGATTCGCCACACACCACTGGTGAGCAAATATAAGCAGATGTGTTATTCTGAAGGCAAGAACTTTTCTATCCCCTTTTTCTTTGTTCTCTATTTATTAAGGGGAAAAAAAAAAAGAGCTAAATTCCTTTTTTTAGATTCTTAGCCTATATGGGGTCATACTTCTTAACATACTGTGTGTAGAAATCAGAGGAAAGGCAGCAAAATGAAAGGGGCAAGCCCGAAGACTGGGATTGAAGAGTTTTGGTTTCTATTTGCTTGTCTCTTGCTCGCTTTTCCCATGTGAAACCTTGTAGCTCAGGTGACCCTTCACGCACCTATCCTAACTTATTTACCCAGTAAACTTTTTGGAACAGCAACTGCCATGCAGAATCGGGGTCCTTCTCCTTAGCAGAGTATCAAAGTACTCTGCAATTAAAAAGACAAAAAAAGAAGTCAGAATAAGTCAAACATGAAGACTAGTAGACTCGCCTGATGTTAGATCAGTTAGGAAAGATATATGTAACCACCAGTATAGATTTCTCAGGATCAATACATCAAGCTCTGTTGTAACACAACTTACCTTTAGAAAGGGGCAAAGTCCCAGTTGTAGAATAACATGACTCAGTGGTTTTGTCCTTAAAGCAGTAGCTTTCTGCAGACTTTGCTCAATGATGTAACTAATGTTAAACATAGCTTTAATACAAACAAAAAAAAAAAAGAAAAAAAAAGAAAAAAGCTTATCAAGCTACAGAGCTAAAGCAGTTGTAACACTATGCTTTGACACTGGGGAGGCCTAGTTTCATTTCCAAGAATTGAATTCTTAATCTGAATTATTCTTTGTGGGTCATTGCCACTTAGGCCCGGGAGAATAAGTACATTACGGAATAGTTACTATCCACTACAAAGTTCTGTTTAAGTTGCTTCATTTTCCCTTAAAATTAGGAGTGCTCCAACAGTAACAATGTATTTCATTTCTTCCAGCCTGCTTGCAAAACTCATTAAACATGCTAGGGGGCAATAAACACTAACTCGTTCTCAGGCCAATTATGGTAAAGCAGCAGATTTATTATTAGGATTAATTACCATGCGCATTACAGTGACAGCTGGAGCCTGTGAAGATGAAGGGAAGCCAGTTGCAGGCTGTGTGAACCTCTATATTTCCTTACTCACAAGCTAAGCACTGTGCTTATTTCGCTGAGAAGCTTTTCCTTCTTTTTTGGCCTCTAACTGGCATTTTGGACAGACTTGGCTTGGGCACCCTGCCTGACACCCTCAGCCATTTGGCAGAGGCCCTTCTCTCAGTTTAAAGACGAGTGGCATATACATTATCCCTCCTTTTGCACCACACACTGCATTCTCATTAATGGCAAGCGGGAATTCTCTGCACAGCGGGGGAACAATACACGCTTTTAATGCTAACTTCTATAGAAGAGAGCGGTCTGGCCTGTCACAGGCTAAGGGTGGCGGGAAACAAAATGCCCAACAGCACATGTTTCTGACGTGCTCTGGGTGAGCGCTGCATGCTTTTGTCCCAGCCAGCCAGCTGCTAATGTGATTTTTTGAAGTAACATCCAGAGACAGCCATTATCTTTGTTTGGCTTCCCCAGACCACTGAGAAAAGCTGAAGCGTGATGATGTGAATGGAGCAGCTAGCTGAACATAGTGATCCAAAAGGTAATGCTTTCTTGATGCTGGGAGATCACAGTGTCAGTGCCGTTTATACCAAAATGCAACTCAAGCTACTAGGTACACTGGAGAGTGTAGAAAACTTTGCACTGAAACGCTGTAAAAGCGATAGATCTGAAGTTCCAATCACCACATACTTTTGAGACGGCTTAATCCTTAATGTTATACCTTCCTAAAATATGAACATTCTAGCCTAACACCATCAAATCTTTCTAGACATTTATGTCAAACTCCTGATTTGTATTAGTCTTTCCAGGGTGCAGGATTATAGCTTTGTAACATAACAAATATATTCTGTCTTTTCTCGAAACAGTGCAGGCACAAGCCTGTTCCATCTGAAATCATTGGCAGGTTTTGCAACTAACTTATAATAAGAAAGACTGAGCTATTATTGGACAGTTATTATCATGAGAGCATGAGATACTAGCCGTGCCCAGAGAAAGACGCTTTTTAATCTTTGTCACGTAAGCAATAGCAAATTTGCTATTGCTAAATGAATAGATTTAGTCTTATAGGTTCTGTTTTTCTCTGGAACTGGAAGGTTTGGAGGCTTTTTACACTACTCTACTAATAAAAAAAACATTGCAGGGGCCTTCTTTCCTTTCCCCATGACCTACAGCCTCATTTTATTTTACACAGATCTCACAAACATCACCACTTCGGAGCAAGACGTTTGCTTTATGGTTCTGGCGGCAGCTCTGTTGCTGCTACTGGGAGTAACCCAGAGTAATCTGTTCTTGCTGTCAGTCTGAGGCTGTATCAGCTTTCTTTCAAGCCAGCATCTTCTCCAGTGCAGAACCAGACCATGGGACAAAGACAGAAAACGACCTTAAAAGGGACAACATTCCAAGGAGACAGACTAAGGTGAGAAAAAGTAACTCAGACTGTCACAGATGTACCTTGCAATTATTTTTGTGATAAATGTTACAAGTTCAGTCACATACGTTCGCATAGGATTTAGGAAACAGCAAGCCAAGCACTAGGGACAGGACTGTGACCATCTTGAGACTCAGAAATGCAAGCTGTCCTAAAGAGAGAGATTTCAAGTGGGTGCTACCGTTCCAACAGAGATTTCAAGTGGGTGCTACCATTCAGGAACACATAAAACCCATGTATTTTTTGTACAAAAGCATGATCTTGCACGCTGTAAGTAAAACCTAAAAATATTTCATAACTACAATCAAAACACATTAAGGTATGTGATTTTGCCAGACCCTTCTAACTTAGGTTTCTGTATCTATGTCAAAGAAAGTAGAGGTGGTACATGTACCTGAAAACCAGGTTACATCTTAATATGAAGGATATAGTCTTCAGCCCTTATTTTTAAGGTCCTCAAAATCAAGCCCTTTATCTATGATTAAATTAGGGATCCTCTCCCTATTATTGCCAACAGCAGTTTTCTCATGGACTTCAGTAGGGAAAAAAAGCAACTCCCTATATGATTTCATCTAAGCTATTTTAGAGGCTCCAACAAGAAAATCTGCTACCTCAAATAATATACCAAGTACTTCATTTCTAATCTATGTAAGCTGATTTGTCCAGGAACACGTTACCGATCCCTGCATGGAATTACTTCACTTCTAATACTAGTTTATGCAACCATTCTGAGGGCAGGAACCTATCTTTCCAGATTAATTATATATGATGAGTTATGAAACTTTCTTTTTTATACACATCTTTTGTCCTTTTAATAGCTGTCAGACAAAAGGTAGGCAGAAGAACGAAGTGAAACAGACGTTGACAGTGTCCACGACCAGCTCTCTAAACACCTGGAGATCAAGAATGTCTCTCCATGCTACTTATAAACCTTTACTCATTAACTCTGTCAGTCAGTCTGATGCTTCCTATAAGCAGAGGTAGATTTACATTTTCTGCCAGAGTCCGTTTATGTGAGAAGTCCTGAACAAAGCAAAGGTGTAATTATAGGGGCAGAGGGTTACCAGGTGGCTCGTCTTTTACTACCTGCTATGTTTTCCTCTGTTTTACTTGCTAATGCAATGATTTGCATCTCAGCATCGGAGCACATGCTCATTATGGGGAGAAAACAAATCATTCTTTTTTAATTAATCAGTAGCCCTACAAACCTTCAGAGGCTCGTATTGCATTTGTAGTTTAGAGGAGTTAATCAGTAACCAGGACAAGAATAGAGGAGCCCAGCTCTATGCAAAGCTAGAAGTAAATCAACTAGCAATGCTTTTTGTATGGCCTGATACTTCAGAAACATTCGATGATAGGATGTCTGAGATGTCTGTCTGAACTTTTAACAAAGGTCGTTATGCTAGGACTCAGCACTGCATCCATACTGGACTGTTCTCAAACTGCAGTGAATCTGGACTCTCTGAAGAAATTCTCTTACGGGAAGTTGTTTTCGCAGAAATCTTTAATTTGGTCAAGTTAACAATGACAAGTTCTGACAGCACAAGCCTATGATAAGCATTTCCCCTTGTGATGTGAGAATCATCTTGCATGCCTTATTTCCACATGCTGATGGTCCATTATCTAATTAATTACTGTCAGCACTGAGTCACACTAAATGAGAAATGATAACACTCAAAAGGACAATCATTTAACAGGAATCCAACTGTGTTAGCAGCATCACTGCATCTCCTTTATTCTTCACATGACTAATTATTAACATCTATCATTCTCTTCTCCGGGAATATGTTAGGCAAGGACCAACAAGGTTCAGTTCAGTTCTTGACTCTCTGAAACCCCCTCCAATCAGTCACCCTAAGTAGAGCACTTAAACTGAATCTCAGTGTCCTGCAGCCATGGTGATATTACTATTCCCCCTCTCTTAAGGCTTACAAATACAAGTTCATTATTCTTTGTGAAAGAAAATAAAGAGGTAAAGACCTTTTAAAACTTCAAATAAAAAAAAAAGTAAAAATCAAAAAATGATTCCTATTATGTAACAACCCTAAACATTTTCTCAGAAATTTCTTATGACACTTTTCATCTCCTTTCTTTTTTTCATTTTCTCATCTAAATAAGATTTTATCTCAGACCAGGGTGTAAAGCAGTTCTGCCCCTGGATAACCCTCTGTTCAGCAAGTTCTTCACAAAGAACTTGAAATTTGGAACTATTAATTAAAAGTCTTATGAAAACTAAACCTTACAGTCATTCCAAATATGTTCTAACTTTGGTCACAAATTAGACAATAAAATCAAAACTGTTCCTTTTCTTTCCCTGTAAGAACAGTCTCCAGGAAAACAGAAACTCCTTTTCTCTACAATAGCACATGTACACAACTCTTCTAAGTTAGCAATTTTTAGAGCTATAGTGTGTGGTTTTAGTTGCAGCAGTCATTTCCAGTAGAATCTCTTTTAAGCATAGGGATCAGACACAGGGAAACCTTGCCAGAATCCCATCTTGTCTTCACAGGGGCTAAAGCCAGCCAGCCACCACTGTAGCTGTCCATCATCTAAGCATAGTTTTACCATCTACAGTATCAACTGCCCAGGTGAATTCTGAACAGAGGATTTGGTATATGATGCGAAGACATCAACTTGAGGGGATTTTTCCTACATTTTTGAGTTCTGTTGCTACATGTGCCTCATGTGTGCGCCATTGCTCTTCCCTAGTATTGACAGGTTGTGTCACTGCTTTGACAAGAGAGCCCTTCCTCTTATTTTCAGATTGTGCAGCTATTGCCAGTTCCATGACACATTTTCCTATCGTTTCAGGATTTCCTCTCACCTTTGGGCAAAGGGCTAGACCATTACCAAATTTTTCTGCCTGGGAAAATGTTTGCTTTACATATAGTACTTTCAAAAGCCAAGTTTATTTTGTATGAAACTCTTTGCTTCCTCTTCACAGAGCCCCCTTCTGAAGCAAATTCCAAATTACCTATTAACCCATCACCTCTGCTCGTCACACGTGGCGGGGGGTTGTTTCTTGTTTACTCAAAGTCATTACTGACGTCAACCAGCAGGACAACAGGCGATGTCACATTAAGACAGGCGTCACCTCTGTCCTGTTGGGAGGACTCATCTGTCAGCGCATCATAACCTTCAGCCCAGTTTCCAGTCACTTCTGCTGGGGCCAGACAGTGAAGTGGCCGTTCGACCTCACTTGCTGCCGCCAAGCACCTCTTAGTGCTCTGTAAGTTTCCCTATCTGACTCAACTAAGACAAGCCATCATCCTTCTATGGATTTTTAAATTAGGCATTTTTTGGTTTTGGTTAGTTGAAGTGAAAGAACTTATGTGTCTGATTACAAAACTGGTTGTTTAGCTTACAAACAACATACTTGGAGACTAGGTGGGGAAAAGAGATGGGCTGTTTGGGTCATAAACCCCAGTTCTTTATGATAGCAGACAACTATGCAATAAGCAACTCCAGGAGAGATAGAGAAAGCCGCTCAAACATTCAATAAACTTTAGACTTTGTCTCAAGGAAGAGCCACAAAAATCATGATGCATTACAGCAACAAAGAGCTACATGTTTATCAATAGTTTGCGGCTAAAGGTTACCACAAAACATTTGGCAAAAACCACCTGCACAAAAGATCCACCTCTGACAGAAAAATTAAAATAATCTCTTAGGAAATGATGTTTGATCAAATTCTTGAAGAGCTGAAGGGTAGCAGGGAAAAGAAACAACTACAAAAAGAGAAACAAAGCATTACAAAAGCATGTTTTAACTATTAAGACACAAATTTACAAATGATTTAGAAAAGGCAAATGAGGTGCATTATTGTAGCATTAAATTATATAAAAATGAAAGATAAACTTGAATAAATAAAATTAATAAAAGAAAAAGCCTGTTCTTAAGGTCTGCTGTGTAGTAACAATCACTTAAGCAGTTAAGAAAAACCTATATGAGCTCACTGTTCCATGACTGATTACAAGAATTTTGCAGTTGCTGTTGGCCATTTGTCTCATTAAATGCTAAACAGATGGGTAAGTCGTTCTTTAAGTTGGAGAAGTTTCTGGCCTACTTGCTGCTGAATGTCTTAGTGTTCTTCATCCTGGTAACTGAGAGTGTTTTATAGCTAAGGTGAACTACAACAGGCATGGGGTAGCAAAAAGTTCTATCTCCACTAAGAAGAAACTAAAATTTTAGTATTTCCCTTATTTGAGAGAAATACAAAATCACACAGTCCAAGTCCCTCACAATTCCTCTGAAGAAGCCATTTTGGGAATCAAATCTTTGCTGTGCCTGCTACTGCAAACCAGGCACAACACCAGGGAGGATGTGTGGCAGTTATGTGGCCAGACAGAATTATACAGAATGCTGTCATCTGTTCACAGGTTAAGTCCCAACAAAATATTTTAGTTAAATGATTTAATTACTAGGATGTACTTCTTCAGTTTTATTTATTGAAGGAGTAGATTATATAAAAGAAATCAAAGCATTCTGAGTTACAGTAAGAGATAGTTAACTGCAAATTTAGCTGAGCTCTTTCTAGATCTTAATGTACATTGATATAACCTCTAGGAAGATTTGAAAAATCAGGGAGAAGTAATTCTTCATCCTGCACTGTAATGCCTCTCTCTGTATCTAAAATAGTAACAAAAATAAATTCAGTTCTATATGAGCAACTCATAGAAAAACTAACTTAGATCTGCATTCAAAGGAAAAGAATACATGAAACCAATTATGAGAATTTTTAAAGGATTGTTTTCATTTTTCATTTTCAAGACACTGCTGATAATAACAATCATAAATTTTAAATTCATATTTATATATATGGTAAATAAGCATTAATTGCTTATGAATTGTACTGGTGATGGCTTTCAGGCGCTCTCTGCATAGAAGAAACCCAGCAGGCATAAGGGTAATGGGTACTTGATTTCTCAGCCGTGTCTGGAAGCTCACTAACAACATTAAGAGTCTCAAGTTTTTCCTAAAGAAAACTGCCATAACTGGTTTAGCTTTTTTGTCTTAGGACAGGGCCCTTTATATACTACAGATTTCCCACATAGCTTTCCATGTGGCTATATAACAGTCACTTAATAGTGAATTTAGAACAATTCTGCAAAGAGGCTTTATTCTAGAGAAACAAGAAGTTGTCACATATATGCAAAAACCATCTGCGCTTAAAAATTCAAGTTCTAAATCCTTCCACAAGAATTCCTACTTTAATACAGGAATATGTATTTACTAATGCCGTCCCCCCAAAACCTAACAAATGTAAATAGATAAAATGCCAACCTTTAAATGCAAGGATCGTTGATGTCAAACCAGGCTTTCTGAACAGAAATTCAAGGCAAACCTAAGTTTACTACATCTGATTTTATTCAGTCTCTTGAGTAGATACTCAACTTTTAGACTTCTGTCCTTTCAAAATTCATACTTTTAAATCTTTCTTCAAACATATCAGAATCTTCATCATCCTCTGTACTACTGAAATTTGCTTCAAAATCCAGTTCATCCTCCAATCCACTTCTCTCTTGGCCGTTTTCGGTAGCCTTACTCTCAGTTCTGTCTTGACCTTTATCAATCCTACAGAAAACAAAATGAAGGTATCACCAGCCTACTTTTCGAATTTATTTTTCTTTTAAACAAGAAAGGAATAAAAAGTAGAATATGTTACTTGGGACAGGGGCGGCAAACTAAAGTTACTTTCATGTTAAATAGAAAAGACAGTCAGGAAAAAAAAAAATCTGTGAAATAGGGTGACCAACTAAACAACTGCTGGCCAGCTGACAGGTACTAGTATATTAATTCAGGAAGTTCAGTAAAGATAGAACTGTAGTAAAAGGGCAATAAAGACAAAATCCCACTAAACATATTGTAGCTACTGCACTCAACATCAGCTCTTCTTTCGTTTACTTCTGTTCACTAGTAACTGAATCGTAAAATGACAGACTAAACGCAAAAAGTAAATTGGTTATGCATATTTTATGGTGCTCTATCCATTTGAAAGTGCTTTGTTCCTAAGGAGGAGAGGCAATTTACCCTGTGATATTGCAGTAAAGTGTCTTATCCAAGTAAGAATTATTTGGCCTAGCACCACTAACATCACAAGTAAGAATTATTTGGCCTAGCACCACTAACATCAATAGGCATTTCACCCTGGCTTCAGCAGAAGAATCTGAGGCTGACGACTCTTAATGATTCCTGTCACGATTATTCAGAGTATGGCACAAAGTACAACAACTCCCAGGCAGTTTCCAAATATACTTTATTAAAAGGGGAAGACAGAAGTACAGTACTGAAGGTGTGTTAACTAAGAGCTACTTACGGAATTACGATGTCTTCTTCCTTTCCACATTTAGCACAGACTCCTAGTTTACAAGCACATGGTCGGCAGATAACATGGTAAGGATCTTTTACAGCTTTCTGGAGGCATTTGACACTGTGAAGAGAAAGAAAACAACATTGAAACACTATCTGTAGGCGCTTGTTAAACATTCTATGTTCAGAGACAACATACACAAACTACTACATTCTTCTGAAGAGGCACTGTTGCTACAGTCATTTTCATACGAAACAATTGTTTTTGATTGCTAAAACACAAAGAATATAGCCTGTTTTCCTTCTCCTTTAACTTTTTCAGAAATAATTTTTAAAACTAGAACTGAAAAAGAAACATACAAAGTAAGAATTTTTATATTCAAAATGGCAAAACACTAATCTTCCCATTCATTTCATACTTTGCTTTAAAAGCTGCATAACTTTTTCCTCTGGCTTAACAATAAAAGAAAATCAGACTATAGCACAAAAAGGCACACACATTTCATAAATAAAAGCTTTCAATCCAAACAGTACAGTGTCTTCCTCTTGAACTTCTCAGAATATAAACAAAGCCAGTCCTGGAGTATGCTTTCTAGGAACATAGGTCTGCACAGAACTGTGTTCTGCTCTGAAAAAAAAAAAAAAAAAAAACACCCCACAATACAAAGATATTTTGGT